AGGACCCAGTCTCACACATCCATGTGAACTTGAAGAGTTAAGAAGGTGCCATTCACTAGGCTATTAACAGAACCATAGTAGAGTTAGGGAGTGTGGGCCAAGTGGTTGTCAGTCAACATTTATTAAGCACTTGCTGTGTTCTAGACATTGTACTATATTCTCAGAATACAAAAAGAAAAATGAAACAGTCCCTGTCCTCATGTAGCTTACTTTTTCTTGGTTAAATAAAGACACATATAAGTAAATGTAAAATATATACAAAGTAAATACTTAGTAATTTGGGGGAGACACTAGCATCCAGGAGGATCAGAAAAGATTTCATGTATGAAGTGGCACTGAGCTATGACTTGGAGGGAACTAGCATTCCTCAGAGGAAGGAGGAAAGGGAGTTCTTTGAAAGCAATGGCAAAAGCACAGAGATAGGAGGTGAAATGTGTACAAGGAATTGCAAGCCAGCTGGTTTGACTGGAATGTAAAGTGTGAAAGGAGGTAACATGTAATTAGCCCAGAAAAGGAGGCTGAAGCTAGATTGTAAAGGACTTTAAATGTCAAACAAAGGAGTTTGTATTTTAACCTCAAGGCAACATAAAATCATTGGAGCTTTTTTTTTTTCCTTGCAAGAGAGAACATGGTCTGACCTGTGTTTTAGGAATATTAATTTGGCGATTGTGTGGCTTGGCTTTTGGTTTGGAGAGGGGAAACATAAGAGATAGGAAGCTCCATTTGGCCAGTTACTGCAGTACTCTAGGTAAGAAAGTAGGAGCCTGAAGTAGGATGATGGTCTGTGAATGGAAAGTAGAGGATGGGTGGGAGAGATGATGTGGAGGTAGCTTTAAGAATACTTAGCAACTGATTAGATGTGAAGGATGAGGGAGAGAGAAGGTTTGATGATGACTCCAAGTTTGCAAACTTGGGTGATGTGGGCCTTGGCCTCTAAGCCTATGCAAAGGAGTAACTCTGGGGAATGATTTAAGTCCCAGGAAGGCAAGCCAGTAATAGCGGAAGCTTGTTCCACCTCAAACTAGGCACATATCTCCCTTTTCAGAACACTCTGGCTAGCCAACTTATTCCATCTGACTACTAATGGCTATTAAGTCTGAGAAGAATTATGAGTGTCCCTGTCAGAGTTCAAGACATGTTGGAGATCAGCAGGTGGTCAACATCTCAGCTTTGTTGGCCAACAGGAGATAGCCTGAACCAGATAGACCCACTGGAGTGGGTCAGACCACCAGGACAGGTCTTAACAGAAGAAGATATAAGGAGGTCAAATGAGTCAGGCAGTTGGAATTAAGCTGATCTATCAGTAGGCAGCAAGTAGGACATGGCAGCTGAGGAGTCTGGTAGCTAGCACGAAGGAATCCGAGGTCCAACAACAGCAGGTAGCAAGAACTCAGCAACATGGTTCAATGTCAACACTCTAGTCCCTGAGAGGACAGATGTGGGATGGGTAATATGTGATGCCAGACTGACAAGAAATTAAGGCAGAGACTCAGGCATGGGTAGATAAGATAAGATTCCAGTAGGTGAATGATTGCTTTTTAATTTATTGAATAATTACTAGAATGGGTTTATAGGCAGGCACTTGAAAAGAGGTGGTGGTAGTAATCAACATTTATATAATACTTCAAGATTTGCAAAGTGCTTTAAGAATATCTCATTTGATCTTCAACACAAACCTATGAGGGAGTTGCTATTGTTATCCCCATTTTACAAATGAGGAAACTGAAGCAGTTAAATGACTTGCCCAAGGTCACACAGCTAGTAAGTATCTGAGGCAGATCTCAAAATCTTGACTCCAAGACCAGGCCCTCTACCTGCTACACCAAGCTTTTCCCATAGTTATAGGAAAGAGTAGCACCAGTAGAGATGCCAATCTGTTGTTGAACTCTACTATTTATGAATCCTTAAAAGTCTTGCAGAATTCATCTTGGGTCATGTCTGATTTGCTTTTACTTATCATCATCATGATGATCATCAACATTATTATTAATAATAATGCTTACATATTTTAGGCATTTATTGCTTCTTTAGTGTGATAAGTTCTCCTGACACAGATTACAACCCATCTTTGATTTTATCAGTAGTCTTTAAGAGTTTCCATGGCCAACAAAGTTCATCACTCTGTGGCCATCCTGTTGATGAGGCTCTCTGAACTTTGCTAGGTTGGTCCTTGGACAGAATGTATACATTCAATAACCAGTCTGTAATCAAATCCTTCCCAGCTTGGTTGATGCCGGCAGAGCTTTGTGATCTACTGGTATCACTTTTGAGAACCCAGATTTACCTATGTACCATAATGAAAAAGTGTATTATCATCAATGATGCTGAAGTTGCTAATTCCCATTTATGTAGCTCCTTGCCTTTGTGAAGCACTTTCTTTACAATAACCGTGTGAATTGGGGGTGGGGAGGGGTTGGCTTTCTTTTACCCTCAGTGATTAGCACAATGCCTCATACAGAGTAAGCACTTAATAATTCCTTTGATAAGTTCAAGTGGTTTTTATTGCCATTTTACAAATGAGGAAACTGGCTCAGAGATGTTAAATCACTTGATCTGGGTATGCCACTACTCAGAAGGCTGATAGAACTCAAATTCAGGTCTCTGGATTTCAAGTTATGTTTTTTCTGGTACATTATGGTGTTTCAGCCAATAAACATTTATTGAGCACTTACTATGCCATACACTGTGCTAAGAGCTGGGGAGAGAGAGAGAGAGAGAGAAGAGAGAGAGAGAGAGAGAGAGAGAGAGAGAGAGAGAGAGAGAGAGAGAGGGAGAGAGAGAGAGAGAGTCTCTGCCCTTGAGAATCCCAACGGGAGAAATAACAAGCAAACAAATATGTACAAACAGGCTATATATAGGATAAATACCTAATAATGAATAGAGGTAAGGCACTAAAATTAAGAAGGGTTGGAAAGATCCCACCCTGTAGAAGAAGGGTAATAGTTAAGTCTTAAAGAAAGCCAAGGAAAAGATAAGGAGAGGGAGAGCATTCCAGGCATGGGAGACAGCCAGAGAAAATGCCTGCAGCTGAGAGATAGAATATTTTGTTCATGGAACAGCCAGGAGGCCAGTGACACTAGAGAAATCAAAGAGTATATACACTGGGGAGTAAGGTATAAGAAGATTGTAAAGGTAGAAGGGAACTAGGTTATGAAGGGCTTTAAATGCCAAACAGAGCATCTTATATTTGATCCTGGAGACAATAGGGAGCCACTGGGATTTCCTGGAGGATGGGAGGATGCTGTTGCCATTGACAGTAAATATAGAAGGAGAGGCAGAGGGTTTAGGTGGAAAAGATAATGAGTTTAGTTTTGAGTATTCAGTATTTTGGTTTTATAAATGGCCTCCATCTTTCTGAATCATTATAAACTGACTCATCCTCACCAATCTTTGCTAATTTTATTCTCTCACTTAGAATACCCTTCCATTAGAATACTCTTCCATCCATTCTCCTCCCTGAAACTCAACCTTCCTCATTATCAAGTAATGGAGTTGGACTAAATGCTCCCTGATCTCCTTTCTAGCTCTGAAAGTCTATGATTTTAAGGCTAGAAGAGAAAGAAAAAAGGAAGAAGAGGAAAAATCTGAAAGGACAGAGAAAGAGGAGAGAGAGAAGTGCCACTAAATTGTGCTTTGGAGCTGAAAGCCACTTAAATGAGATAGTTGGCCTTTAATGAAAAAGAAAATCAACCCATATCAACATCGCTATTTCTCTGGTTAGCAAACGGATGTTTTAAAATATCCCAGAGTCAGGGTTAATGGAGCTATAAACCCCAGAGTAGATGGAGAGGCCAATGCATATGTGTGTGTGCCCACATGAACTGTGAAGTCAGCAAAGTCGGCCTTTGCTGATGTTCTGCCTCTAAGTCTTCCCCTTTGCCTTGCCCCAGGGCTCCTCACCCTCTAAACTCTTCTGCCCAGACTCTAATCAATGTCTTAATCCACAGGGATGAAGCTCTTTTGTTGGGATTTCAAGGATGTGGAGCCTTTCTTGGATTTCTTCAAATCACACTACATGGGTGACGTGTCTACTCTGCCTCACTCTTCTCAGCAAGATCTGGTCTGTCTATCAGCTCACAATAAGAAAAGCCTTAAGTTTCCCCTCTTTTCCGGCAGTACACTGACTAGCAACTTACAACCAGCCACTCTATTGCAGTCTCACAAAGGGCTGCGAATTGCCTCTTTCTCTAATAACTGAAGCAACAAAGACCTCCCCTCCTTCTTTCTCCCCAACCAATCAATGGGTGGGTTTTTTTTCTGGAAGCCCTCCTAGCATCATGATTTAAGAATAGTCTAAGAAGCTCTGGAAATTATATGAAAGATTCAACAGCAACCTTACCCCCAGTTTCTACTGGACCTCAGTATTCCCAGTTAGAAATAATAAAAGATCTTTTTACCTTCCACTTCTTTCCTGGTCTCAGCCCCTTCCTTCCCCCCCCCCCCCCCGCTTTTTAAAAATTTTCTTTACTGAGAAATATAATTGAAGCAAGGCACACTTAGGTTGCCAAAGCACCCCTGGGCAAACTGGGCCGGACATTTCGATCCCCTTCCCCGCCCCTTCCCCTATTGAGGAGGGAGGAGCAACTCCATTAAAAAGGATGGTGGCTAACCAGTGATTGATCTTCTAGGCTTTGTGTGGGAGGTTTAAATCAAGCTGTCGTCTCATTATAAAACCGAAGGAGACCGCTTTTTTAGAGGATTAAATGGTAGCACTTGAGCAGTAATCGGATTAGAGGGACTTGCAACCCGAGTGCAGGCCCTTGGAGACCTGATAAAAGCAAGGCTGAGCCGCGTCCCGCCTGCCAAGTCCCGGAGAACCCAAACTACGGGGAGCAGACCCTTTCTGATCTGAGGCATCTGCAGTTTGCTGACACCTAAAATGCCTGCCGATTTCAACGGTTACTGGAAAATGCTGAGCAATGAGAATTTCGAGGAGTATCTGAAAGCCCTGGGTAAGATAGTTCGCCTGCTATTTTGTTAATAATCAAAGCGCCACTTACGGTGATTCTGTGCGGAATTGTCGGGAGAGCTCGCAACAGTGTATTGGCCCGAAACACAATCCTTTGTTGAATCGAACACAGCCTGGTTGAAAAAAGTAACTCGTAAGTCCGCGGCTCGAGATGATACAGTAGCACTGTTAAAGTTTGCTTCTCTCAGTGTTGGAACACAAGAGAGTCCAGGAACTAAGATTTGCAAAGACAGCACAAACAGAATTTGCAGCAAGGTCTTGGGGTTAGGTCTTTTGTGCTGCAGATTTGAAGAGAAATTAAATTTTATTGGGGTTAATTAGTGACAAATATCTGAATGCATGCCGTTGGAGATTGGTAATTTCGTTAGCAAAAAGTGAACACGGTTGTTGTTTTGTTTTGTTTTTTAAACTTTGTTAATGCCCCGCCGGAAACATTGCTGCAGCAACTTTTGGAGGTGGTTTAAACATTAAAACAAAACCAAACCAAACCCTTTGATTGCACAATGCCCACGAAGAACTCTCGGTGCGCTTTCACTTTATGGTAGTCCACCTCTGGGCTTCCAGGAAAGCATATTGAACGTTTTCTTATAAACTCTTCCCCTCTCCACCCATTCTCCCCTTGCCCCCTGCAGATGTCAATGTGGCTATTAGAAAAATCGCCTGCTTACTCAAACCGGACAAAGAGATCGTCCAGAATGGCGACCATATGATCATCCGCACTCTGAGCACTTTCAGGAACTACATCATGGAATTCGACGTAGGGCAGGAATTTGAGGAGGATCTGTCTGGCGTGGACGACCGCAAATGCCTGGTGAGGATGAGAGTTAACTCAGCTCCAGGATCCGATTGTTTGCCTCGGATTGCTCTGGGTTGCAGGGCCCTGGATTTGAGCTAGGGAGTAGATGGGAGGGGGTGTTTACTGAGATGCTCCCTTCCTACTCTGCTTTGATAAGGGCACCATCCCAGGCCTCCTCTCTTATCCCTATACGCCTGCTTGTACTTTCTTTTAAAATCTACCTCTTTACTACCAAACTAACCGCAAGAGGTTTTTATTTTTAATAGACTTCAGTTAAAACCAAGTCCCCCATTTGAATTTGCTTTCAGCATAAAATAAACCACAGTAATAAGGAAGGAAAAACAAAAGCTATCGACAAAATTGGTTTAAGAAACAAGCCACAATAAAGGTTCCCATCTCAACCCCCAACAATACTTAGCCCGTTTCGCTTTGTATTCCTAACCCTCTCCTTCAAGTGAAGGAGAGGGTGGAGGGCTTCTTTAGAATTTCTGGCTGTGAACTCTTACCCTCAGGCAGCCTTCGCAATAAACCCACAAAGCCACCAAACCTTCCTGACAATGGTGCCAAACAAACTCCTCCCTCCCACCGCTAGCTCTTTGGGAAATCAGTGACCATTAGGACACCAATTAGTGGCAGTACAAGAGACAGAAGGCCATTTCCAGAGTTCAAGGCTGAATGCTGCCGGTTTCCTGGGGTCATTCAGAGGTCAGAATGCTTTCCTCCCATTAACTAGCTCGGCCTCTGGAAACTAGTCTGTGATACTTCGTAAAACCCAGTCCTGGCGGCTTGTAGGCCTGAGGAAAGATGAGTCCAAGACTCTTCCAAATCTTTTCACTGTTGGCCTCTAGAATAAACAGGAAGTGTAAGATCCCTTCTGGCCAAATATAAATCAATATGTGTTAAGTACTGTGAAGATTTTTCTTTAAATAACTTTGAGATGCCTTAAAAAGTGTGCTGGATTTGAAGTTGGATTCAAATCCTGTTTCTGTCATTTACTGCCTGTATAACCTTCAAAAAGTGAATTAACCTCCTTGAGCCCCATTTAAAAAATTAGATTGGATTGGATGATTTCTAAGGTTCCTTCTAGCCTCGAAATTCAGCTATGGTCCTTTCCTAAAGCTGACTCTTCAATTGGAACACTTGATAGGAAATTATTGTTCAAAATAAGCAAAACTTCAATATTCTTTGGATCTCCTGTGAAAGCAGCAATAATAGAAAGGGGAGAGAAGCTTAGCCCTCTGACTTTGGAAGGATAAGTACTGTACTGTTTTATACTAACTTCTTATCTGCCATATTAATTAGAAGGTAGATTAGTACTATTTTTATTCCTTTCTCATCTTCCCTCCCTTTCCCCTTAAGGGAGTAATTAATAATATTGTACTTTATATTTTGATGCTCTCATCAGTTTCTCTACTGATTCATCCTGTGTAATTCTTGCCTATGCCGTTCCATCAATCTTACAAAGATCTGCTCAGTGCTAGAAGCCTTCTTTCACATCTCGTAATATTTCATGAATACCAGGGCAACACACTCAGGATGTTCATCTGTTAGCCTTTGTCCAGATCACCTACTTTACTAGTACTGCATATCCTTGATGTCTTTTTATCTGCTACTCAAATGCTAATGTGCTCAGACCTACTGACATCCAATGGATATTTCACCATCGTCCTCTGAGTCACCGGAAATTGATTCTCAAAAGATCATGATGTTCCATGATTCATAGCTATGTTGTATCACCAAAAGACTATTGGTGTCGAAAATAGGGACTGTCAATCAAGGAGCCCATTGGATCATTACAAGCACTGTGTAATTTCCCAAATCCCTTCACTTCTGGGCCCAGTTCATTGTTCATGTGCAGTGTCTGTCCAAGATATATGTCCTGACAGACTAAGTCAATGGGCTGCCTATCTGATTGCATGCTATAATCTGGACAATACATGTGCTCTCCATCTGCTGGTTTTCTCCTGGGTGATTGCTGTGCTGGGGAGATTTCTTTTGAATAGCTTTGAATTTCAGATGAAACCCTATTGTTGCAGGACTTGATGCTATGAGAACAATGTTATCCCCAAACAAGATTGAAATGCTTTTCCTTAAAAGGAAACAACGTCAGTCAGTCAGTCAAACATTTAAGTGCCTGCTATCTGTCAGATACTAAGTGCTGGAAATACAAAGAAATGTAAAAGACAATTTCTGCTCTCAAGAAGTTCACCATGTAATGCACAAGACAAGGCTGTAAATAACTACATACAAAACAAGCTACATATAGGAAAAACTGGAAATAATGGACAGAGGGAAATCACTAGAATTAAGAGGGATTAGAAAAGGCTTCTGATAAATGCTGAAATTTTAGCTCAGACTTGAAGGAAGCCAGGAAAGCCAGAAGGATATAGAAATGCTTTGAAATGTAGAGCGATATTACTATCTAGTATTTTATTAGGTGTCTACTGCATGGTAGGTGACAGGATATACAGAAGATGATCCTTCCTTAAAGGAGTTCCCAAACTAATTGGGAATGTTTTATATGTTTGAAACAATAAGAAAATAATACCAGACATATTTAAGTACTTAAGAGCTTAATTGTGCACTCTAGGAATTCAGAGGAGAGGACAGTCAACTAGAGTTTAACGTAATTGAGGCAAGGCTTCTTGGAGGTCGTGGTATCTGAACTGGCCTGGAAAGATTTAGAGAAGGGGTCTGAGGGCTGTTTAGGCACACTTAACATATTGTGATCAGGGAATAGATTGGAAAGCCACATTGGAACATAGTAGAGATAAGGTTAAAATGGTTCTAGAGTTCTTGGAAAGTTAAACAGATGAAAAAGTCCTTCCTTGATTCGAAGAGAGTTTTAGAATTTTTAATTTGGCTAGTTGTGTGATGTGGTTGGGAGAGGGAGAGAAGGGACATTTTAGTGAACAAAAATAAAATCATTCTGAGTCATCAGAGCAGCATGGCAGCTAAAAAAGCCAAGATGGACTTTATACTGAAAGAAGCATAGTGTTTAGGCACAAGTCTTGCCCTGGTTACCCCCATTGTAGTCTAATGTGTTCACCCCATTTTTGGAAGGATGTTAAGTTGAAAGAGCAACCAAAGGAGAATAACCAGGACTTTGAGGAGCCTTGAAATTATCTGATAGAGAAGGTTGCTTAAAGAAACTAAGGCTATTTAATTTGGAGGAGAAAACATTTAGTGGGAATATTGTAGCTGTCTTCGATTCAAGAAACACTCTAAGCTCCTGCTTTGTGCAAAATACTATGTGGAGTATCCAGTGGGCCATCATATGGGAAAGGGAGTTGATTCTTTTTCTTCTTGGCCCCAAAGGGCAGAACTAGCAGCAATGGATAGAAGATAATTTCAGTACCATGTAAGGAAACAATTGGAACTGTCCAAAAGGGGAAGCAGGCTTACATTCACTAGAGGTCTTCAAGTAAAGACTTCGTCGTCATTGAGTAGGGATGTTGTAGAAGCAAGTGCAGTACTGGTATGGGTTGGATTAGACAGACGACTTCCTGAAACTCCTCCCAGTTTTGTCCTTCTGTGAGGCACAGATGAGAGTTTGTCTTGAGAAGCGCAGGGGCAGTGGGAATGGAGAGGAAGAGGGAAGATAGAGCTTTATTATCTTTAAATAAATGATGGTGAATCTCATTCCATTAGCATACTTATTTTTTATTGTTTTTATTTTTTGTCTCCCAACCAGATTTATAAATTCCTCTAGAACACATGTGTTTAACATAAATTTAAAAAGAGACAATTACCCAAGGACCATTCCCATTTTTTTTTTCATTAATTCATTAAGTGTCCATAACATATAAAAAGGCATACTGCTAGGTATTGGACATTTGAATATAAAAATAACATAACATCGTCATGGCTTTCAAGGAGCTTATTTCCTACTATATTTGGGGATGAGGTAAGAGAAAGAGATGCTACGTGGATATGGTTGCATATGATACAAGTAGGAAGCAATACAGACAAAGTGCCTTAGGAAAATCTGAGGACAAGACATCATATTACAAATAATTTGCAAAATTTTAAGTAGATTTTTAAAAACAATGACTTGTCATGAGAAGGTAGTTTATGACTATATTGTCCCAGATTGTCATCTGCCTCAGTCTGGATTACTATGAAGTGCTCAATAAATGCTTGAAGTTAAAATAAAGGATGCTGGGAGAAATTTTATGATATTATATTCATTGTGGCCTCAAAGACCTCTGGTTTGCCCAGAATTTGATAAATAGGAAAAGATCACCCTGGCTGCTTTTTGCCTAGGGCTTGTCTAGGTAAAAATTGCAATGGATACAAAGGGAGGGGGATGAGGAGGAACAGACTGAGAGCTTAAATCCAGGTTCTACAAATGAGGTGATCCTGAAAGCCTCTGAAAGGAGGAGTTTGCATGAAAGATGAATAGGGACTGTAAGGTGAAGCTCTTAGTCTTGAGACTATGGGGAGGTCTGAACCACCAACTGCTCTGAATGAGTTGGGCATGCCTCTGGTATAGATTTTAGCTCTGAACCTAGTTTGCTGTTTTCACATGTCTGTGAATGTGAAGGACCTAAAAGAGCCAAAGTCAGAGGCACACAGCTTAGGGGATTAATTTATAGTACCTTGATAATCAATGATTTCTGTTAAAAAGTTAAGTCTGTAGGAGAAAGGAACCAATTGTACCTACTCATCCACCAAACCCTGGAACTATAGTGCTGGGGAAGGAGCACTGAGGCATCAGTGCCTGTGTTGGGGCTAACGTTAACCTAGAAACTTGACTTTGGGAATTTTGTCCTATCCTTAACTTAGATGTGGTGGTTTTAACAGAATAACCAATGAACACTTCACAGT